TACTAAACTCCATTGTTCAATGATAGGCTAAATGGTTGTTGTTATGCCTTCCACTGCTGCACTGCTGTCTTAGTTTTAGTTACATGGGTTGCATTTGTTGTCTGCACTATTATATAAAGTTAGCTTCTGAATTGGTATTTCACCCTGCAGCTTTGATTTTATTTTTCAATAACTCTTACCATTGTGTTAAAAAGCATTTTGTGGCAAGTAATAACTACAAAATATCATTAATACATATGTCCCACCATTATGTAAATGGTTAGCACAGGTTTCCCTTGAATAAAATGGTGATAGCATTCCACAGTGTACATATGCTTTTGTTTTTTATTTGATTCTTTTTATTGTTTTCCGAAGAAAGTCTAAATGCTGAGTCCTTGCTAAGTTTATTTCAATTTGTCTTTCTGGACCATTTTTTAAGCAGGAGAATCGATAATTGTTCAATTGAACTGCAGAAATGATAATGGACCAACTCTCTTGATTATTAAGGATAGTAAAGGTTATACATATGGGGCTTATTCTTCCCAGCCTTGGGAGAGGCATAGTGATTCTATGGAAATATGAAGTCTTTTCTCTTTCAGCTTCATCCAAAGGCATCTATATTCAGACCAATTGGGGCCAACAACAATTTACAATGGGCATGTTTCTACTTGCTCTCCTACTTTGCTGAAACGAATTAATGTGCTTTTGAATTGTTTATTTGTTTGATTTCAATGAATTTTATATGATGGTTCTCACACTTTTCTTTCTTTATTCAACTTGCTGTTATTAGTTAAGCCCTGTAGGAAAGCTTTATAATATCGTTCACTTGGTGCAGCAAGTGTAGGATATTTGTATTTCAACCTTTCCTTTTTCCCGATTGAAATTTTTCTGCAATTGTTAAGCTCTGTTATAATTAGAAGGGCTACTGTAAAATGGATCATTGCTTACTTGATAGGTCTTATTAGCTGTTCAAACTGTGAGTTAATTCAAGGGTTTCTCTGTCTGTACTTGGATGAAAGTGGGTTTGACATTGGAATAAAAGAAACTTTAATTCTATTGTCACCTTAATTGACCCTTCATAATCACTTTTTTTTTTTTTTTTTCCTGAAAAGTTTGATTTTTTTGTCTCGTTTCTTTTATCTCTAGTTTCTACTTTAGTAGATGGAAAGTAGCATCCAGTTCCCATGGATGGTGGTATTCCATTTCCTTCTAGTAGTGTACAGTAGCATTTCCATGCTTATTTTATGTCTACTCATGCATTCAGTCCTATTGTCTTTATTTTTGGCCTTCAGTATTATTGTTGTTCAACTGCATATTGTTGGTTTTTTTTTTTTTTTTTTTCTTTTTTGATTATTGGGGAATTGGTTTGGGGAGGGGAAGTAAGTCTTGGGTTTAGAACCCAGGACAAGATGTCCTAGCCCACGCATTCAAGCGGGTGGCCACTAGGCCACCACGGGCTGGACAACTGCATATTGTTGTTTTGTTTAACTGACTTATGTAGCTTACAATCTCCAAGTGGCAGTGTGCTGTGAGTTTCAGTTCAGAGGCCATTCCAAACGGCATTGGGTTTGGAGGGCGAGTTAATCACTTTGGCCATGTTCCTCTCAGCAGGCTGTGATCAGGGACACACTTTCTCTTGCACAACATTCAATAGCCCTTGCCTTTCAAAGAACAGTAAAATTTGCCCAGAACTGATAGAATGCTGGGGAGTTGTGAGGAAAGGAAAACCAGAAGAAAGACAATATGCTCCTAAAGGTACTGTGTTAGAAAGGTTTAAGGAGGACCGGAATATGCTCAGTATGGTTGGGATTGCAAATGCTAGCGAGTAAATGCGATCATCTTTGGCCTGCTCTTTTGGATGTGGCTTCAACATTCGGATCAGTGCTTAAGTTTAGAAGTCCTGTTCAATATCTCTCTAGTTTAAGGAAAATTGTTTTTATCTTGAGTCCCTGATTCCTCAAGCAAACAGAACTTTATTATTATTATTATTATTATTATTATTATTATTATTATTATCATCAATATAATACCTAATAACGCAAGTGTATCATTTATACACCAAATCCTCTAACTACAAAAATTTACTGGTGGTTTGAAATAGAAAATTACGGTAGTGTTTATGAGGAGCCATACACAAATCTCCTCATCTCACATAAATACTTTTATGCCTCTTTCTTTAGCTAGAAGTAGTAATTATAATGTTTCTCTATTCCCTGCAAAGAAATATCAAATAATATGAATCATTTAACTCTTTCAGTGCTCCCTTGTTGCTTAAGTTTAAATACATTCGTGAGCAGCATAATGTAAGTAGCTTGCCTCTTTAATGCAATATTTAGATTTATGATATCATTTCACTTGATACAGACAAGAATTTAGCCAAATTAGTATTTACTAACTTAAAAATCTTAATTTAAAATTAAGATTTGAGATTTAAA